AGTCGAGCAGGTTCATTTCATTTTCACACTGTCGCTTGTATAGATAATGCCAACTTGCTAGGTAAATAATTTAATTTTGTATTTTCTTTTCTTTTTTTTCTTCAACTTCATTATTTCTAATTATATACGTTGATGGCGGCTGTTAAGTGAAAATTTTGCCTAATTGTTTTTGACAGATTTAATTAACAGTTCGAAGTTTGGCATAATTGAAAACGTTGTTGGTCTTATATTGCGCTGTTCTTTTTATAAATTTAACTTTGAAGTTTTCTTTCTTTTTCGATGCCCGAGGGAAATTTCCAAGCTTCAACTGTACAAACACAATATTAAATGGAAAGTAAGTTGTTGTCTCCATGCTTTAAGCATATCCCACTTAATAATGATTTAAAGAACAATTCAAAATTACTAGCTGAATATTTACTGAAAATATTTTTGCTTCAGGAAAACTCAAACCAGGATTGTCGATCCCCCTTATTAATGTCTTTGGCTTCATATGGAAACTGATTTGCTGGAAATACGAACAATGGGGTATGTCATCTTTCAGAGTCTATATGTTTCCTTCAACCGTCAAACACTTAGCTAATAAATTCTTAGTGCTCAACGGTTCCTTCAATGATAGAAACTCCTGTTTTTTAAATCCCCTAAGACTGCAGCTTCGCATTTTATATAGACTAATACTTACACAACGTTTTATTTAATCTATATGGGTAGACCTAATATTATAATATTATATTACGTTTTATCAAATAAAAAAATGAAGCTGCAATATAGACGCGTCGAGTCATAAGCTAAGCACATAGATTGGACTTCATCCAAGCAATTAGCTAAACTCTTGATAGCCAAGAGCTGATTATAGTTGCAAAAATAAGTCAGAACGACTTTTCCAGAGTCGATTTCAAATAAATGATACAATTTGCAGTCGGCGCAGTTTGCCGTAAATGTGTTAACTGTCATTTTAAAATTCCATAAATATTAAAAAATATCAACAAGGTAGCGCAAATACCGGTATTCCATATGCCATTCACACACGAGCGCATTAACTTTTATTGGCATCACATATACAACGACTGACCTACTTTGTATAACCGAAGCGGGCTACTGGACCCGTACAAATGCACACGCTTCCAGTAGAGACACAGGTGCTGGCACACCTGCTGACAAGGCACACACGGAGCGCGCACACATACACACTAACACACACATGCAAGTGCAACCTGAGATGAGTTGCGACGATGCACAGCACGAGAGGTGCTTTGATCTATGGCTCGTCCCTGAAGCCTTCTGCCAACCGGGCTAAGCAAACAGAAAAAACTTTTCTGAAAGTAATTTCAGCCATTTGCACGTTAATTTAATTAACAGAGCAAGTGCTCATCATTAGCCACAAAAGAGCCGGCGCTCCGTACTAAATAAAGAATGGAGTATAGAATAAGCTGAAAAGGAACATATATTTGCCCGCCCTTTATTATATCCTTTTCAGCCCTAATGTAAGCTTATCTATAGAAAATAAAACTCACAAAAAGGTTTTCTCTTTTTTTTTTTTTTCTAATGAAAACCAAAGCTGTTTAACAATCGACCCACAGTCCATTAAATTGGGCGCTTAAGCATCTGCAAGATTAAATTCTGATAGAAATCCGCATCCGAAACTCTAAATCACAGTTTATGGTCCTTTGGCAAATGCAAAGAGGGGCGMGCCCATTATTTTATTTTTTCCTTATTTTATTTTATTTCGTCTTATAGATGTGCACGCATATGAATACATAAAAACTCGATCAAAATGCATGGCAGAAACAATTTAAAATAATTCAAGAGACCCTTGCGGGCAGCCACAAACAAGCAACTGGCAGATGGCCTCACAAGCCCAGTGGATACGCAGGATTATCTTGCAGATACTCGTACTTACTTATCGTACATGCGAGCACATCCAAGCCGGAGTGCGTGTATGCAAGGAATTATCAAGTGTTTGTCAACACACTCGCACAAAAACACACGCCCACACGGCCAGACACACTCACACACTCGCACACACACATACATACTCAGACACTCAGAGGGGTGTCAGCCAGTAAGCACTACAAAGAGCTTATGTAAAGTGAAAGTGTGCGCGGTCGTGTTATAAGAAAGTGTCCGTCTTGTCGCTCAGTGCGTCCCTCGGACAGCTTCAATATACATATATGTATGTATGTATGTATGTATAAGCTATGAGAAAATGCGTAAGCCAAACGACCGGAAAGATGTATACACAACCATATATATACATATATACGTGAAGACATATATGCTTCTGCACATACATAAATAAGTTTCCGGATTAAACACACACCTCGGCCGCCATTGTCATCAGCCCAAGTTGGCGCAATAAAACCAATCTGAAACTGTGCATGAAACTTTTCCTTTGGCCTGCTGACTCTAAGTAGGTAAAGTATGTCATTTTGTCTGATGCTTATACTGCGCCTGTATCTGTGTGTGTGTGTGTGTGTGTGTGTGGGTACGATATTGCTATCTTATGAGCAGACATCAAAGGCATAACTTACATGCGTGAGCCAGTCACATGTGCCATTTGCATACATATCTTACCAAATGTAAATTAATGCTAAATTTATTGCTTTTTGCCAAATTAAGTATCTCAAAAATAAAATGCTTAAAAAGGCTTGAATAATATATAAACATTATTTGTAATTCATTAATTAACAGGAATGACTATTAAATTGCTTACATATATCAAGATAACTTGAAGGTCGTTTCAGTAAAGCTGCTATGCATAGGTGTGTGTAAAAGCTTTATATTAGATTATATCACTAAGGACACCTTGAGATGCAATACATACAAAGTTTTTTCTCTGAAATGCTTTTCAGCATCCTGCATAAAAGGCTTTGGCGGTTTTCTAAGCAGATTTGGGGCGGGCAAATGATTTATATAAGCTATGAATATATCAGTTATGCATGTGTGAATATTATTTTTCCAGTTAAACAATTTCAGCAGAGATATGTGTATTAATGCACATGTATATATCACATACATTATACATTTACACATATATAGAAATATATATATATATTTATATATGTATGTATGTATGCATGCGTACTTTTACATGCTTTTCACATTGTCCTTGTTTCTGTTAATACGAAAATATTTCATTTTTATTATGTATTTGTTTTTGTGTCTTCTTGTTCTTGGGCCACATACAATATTTAACAGTCTCAACAAATTACTTTAACCCTTTTCAAAACTGTGTACCCTTAAGGCTTTAAGTCATTTGTCAAAAACTGCAAAAACGGCTCACGGAAAACTCAAGCCCGCAAACACACACACACACATACACACACAAATACTGACGCATCCCCATACTTAGTCATGGTGAGACTTTCACACTTTCTTATGCAAATTTTCTGCTTATACGCATGTCTTTAAGGCTATTCTAGTGAAGCCAAACAAACGTATCCATATATATAGGTATATCATATATGTATATAGCAGCTGAGAGCTGCCGAAGGGCGCATTTCAAACACGTTGCCGTCAACTTCTTCACACATTAAGCCTATTTATTTTTGGCTCTTGTCAGATTAAATTACTTGGCCAGTCGACAGGCGTTGAAATATCATTCTCCGCCTAAACAATTCGAATTGGCGCAAATCAACATGGATTCCTGTGTGAAAGCAAAAATCAAAGCATGTCAAACATTGCAAATGAATTTTTTGTGTTTCGTCAAAAATAAAACGAGACAGAACAAACATAACTGTTGCTAGTAGAAGCTGGAACAAAAATTTAAATTTAATGAATGCTAGAATTCAAGTGGTTAAATAGTCAAAATATTGCTACTATTATTATTAAAGGTTGACGGATGAATAAAATAAAATATCGTTGCATTCATTCTTAATCTTTTAAACATACATACTTGACATATCAATTACATAGTAAACTACGGAAACCTCAGAATTATATACAGTCTGCTTTACATGTGAGCAGCTTAGAAGAAGTTCTAGTAGTAAAACTTTTAGCGTGAAAATATCCCAATTCACCTATAATTATGTATTACACTACATTACATATACATACATTATACAATTAAACATACATACATACACATTATACAATTAAAAAGCAAATAAACTGGTAGATCTTATTATATTATCAGAGAGTCATACGAAACACAGAGCTGGTTCTATAATATATTTAAGTTAGATTAGATTACTTTTGATTTAATATAAATTTACAATAGTAATATGTTAAATAAGTCAATTACATCTTTAGTAACTTATTCACTTTGCATGCATGAATCAACTCTTGCAATCAATATAAAAATACTTCACCCAGCTTATTTGGCCACAGCTTTAATGTAATCAAGCCATTTACGTACACCACCAAGCCCTGGCAGATAATGTGCATTCCCTTGTACACAGGAACCGCATGCAGTGGTGTCAGAGTCAAGCCTACGCTATTATAAATGCTTATAATTGAATTTTTTATATTTCGCTGAGCTAGGCAACCGACCGACGGACCAGCTGAAACAACTCTGACCAACCGAAAGTGGTTGCCGGTTTTTTTTTTCTTTTTGCGCTCAAGGATGCTGTCCAGCGACCCAGCTACATTTACGTGGGCCACATAAAACACAGCCGGCGTGCGGCCAGAAACTCGGACGTTTAATAGTTGGAGCCATAAATTCGCCTGCTCTTTGATGCAATTAGGAAAAAATGCTGGGTATTGGATTCTGGTCATCGCTGATAGCCTTACGTGGCTGGTTTTGTGGTTTTCTTTATTGGCTGGCTGCTGTGAAGGGAACGCGAATTAGAGCTATTCAATTTAGCAGTCTCGGTGCTGATATTTAATGTCATTTGGAGGTTAACCCAATGGCATGGGCGGAATATTAGAAGTGTCTGCACAACATTTACATACACAGACTACAATTTGATTATATCATTAATTGAAAAAAACTCTTACTGTGTGGCATTACTATAGAAAATATTTAATTTGGTTCATCAAACCAGTTTGAAAAATCAATCAACAGTAAGCGATATGTTGCTCAAATCACAAACAACAACAAAATAAACACTTTTGGATATATGATAAATCTGAGATTAACAAATGTACTAACGATCCCACTGAGAAGAGGCAGAGCCAATTCCAGTTGATAATTTTTGAACGTATCAAATTCCAGTTGCGCTTTTAAGCCCTTAAAATATGTGCAGTAGCACTGAATCCACAAACAAGTCTAGATTTCAGATACAGTTGCTGGCTGACAGGAGTGTTGTATTAGTGAATGCGCGGGGCTATGAATCCGAAATATTTCTGCCCGAACTGCTAAAGGGCCGAGTCTGTTTGCGGAATGTGATATGTAGCCGGCAGCCCAAGTCGCCGCCAGGTGAGATGAGCTCCCAGTCATCGTCGTCGGATCTTCGATGCCCGAGGATAAGGAACCTGAAGCTGACCACAGCAACGGCTGGCTTGGCGCCCAACCCGGGAAGGAGGGATAACACTAGCAGGCTACGCTTCGAGCTTAAGCTCATTTCGAACGGCAAGGTGGTGCTTGTGGAATGTAATGGCTACGAATCTGAGATTTTCCTTCCTCACATTCGTAGCCGTTGCGTTGCTATGAAGCGCATCTCTGCTAAGGAGCTGGCGCAATGTGCATCTGCAAGATCGAGTAGAAGTCAGTGTACACAAAAGTCGCCAAATAATTCGGCTGCCTCTTTGGCAACCCAGGCTGTGGGGCTATCCTGCCTGTGGGCAACTTCCCCCAAGTCAGGAAATGTTATTGATAAACAGAAAAGTGGACAGAGAATACAGAAAAGCCAAGAAGTGAAAAAAATGAAAAAGCCGCTAAAGGACAAATCTTCAACTAGACAAAAAAAGAAACGCTGCAAGCAGTATTCTAAGGAAACCAGAGATGTGTCAAATTAATTTATTAAAGCTCGACAGAATTCGTATGAGTTGACAAAACAAACGGGTGCTAAACTTCAATATATATAAATACATTATATTCTGATGTGTAAATAGCAATAATATTTTCCAGTTCAGTAATGTAAAAGTTTGTCTATGATAAAGTAAAGATTTGGCCAAACCAATGCATTTCAAAACCAATCAGTTAAAATTTTCTTTGAAGCTAATACTAAGCCAAAGCGCTATTTTGGTTGAGTATCCAGGACGGGAGCCGCAGCTGTTTATGCCAACGTTGATCAACAATAAAATCGTATTGCGAAACATCATATTTGATCACATCAATCCGCCGAACAGTGATGGCAAGCCAAAGCTACAATTCTCCAATAAGAAGTGCCGTTCCGAAGCGGACACCGTGAGGAGGAAACGCAGGGGTAAGCCAAACAGTTCAACTAGCGGCGATAGCTCTGGAGTATGCGGCACCAAGAGCTCCAAATATGTGGCTTCCCGTGGCAATAACGATGAATGCTCCGAGTCGGTGCATTCCACTGACACCAAATCAGAGCCGCCCGACATCGACAGCCCCAAGTTGCTGCAGTTTGGCGATAACTATAACGGTAAAACATTAATGCCGAGTAACGACCGTTTCCATTGGGTGCGCTCTGGGAAAACCAAGAAATTGACACCATATGAGAAGCAAAAGCTGCACAGCGGCACGAAGACCACACCGATTGCGGGTCCCGCAATTAAACCGACCATTGAGGACTACCAGGAGCGATTGCAGCTGCAGCTGAAAAAGGTGCATTCTCATGTTGTATGCAATCCCTTACCGCCGTTCGAGGGCCTGCGATCCACTTACCTGGACAAAGAGCCTAAAAGAGGCCGAACGCCGGTCTTAAGAAAGAAAGCGAACACACGAGGCTTAGCATTTCGCAATGGACAGACTTAAAACTTACGAGTTTGTATAATCTATAAATTTTCGTTTTAATAAATTTTAGCACAAAAATAATTATTTATTTGTTAGTTATTTTGCACAGCATAGCTTACAAATGCAAATGCCATTTCAATGCTCAACCGAAAAAAATGATATTCACTCGCTTTTGCTTTGAGCAAGACGCTTTGGTTTACTTCGTTTCAGTTTTCTCTTGAGCCCTCGGGTTGAAAAATTCGTGTGACGCTCTTTAACGAACATGGTTTACGATTGACTTTCGTACAATGAGATTCCCAATGCAAGTGGTTAAATAACTCAAGAATTCTATGCATATTCTTCATATTTAAGTACACATGCATGCACTCAACTCGCGTATGCTAGTGATGATACCAATACTATTGCCCCAATGAGCTCGGGACAGAACCAGATTGAAAAAAGCCCAAGTCGATCGCTAACGAACTCAACGAAGAACCGACGTAATCAATTGCTCTCAGAGTTTTTCTCAGAAACATTGGGAAATCTTCAGCAAGTATTTACGAGCTATGCCAACAAGTGCTATTTTTACGACTTTATTAGACGATGATGTTTGTTATGAAATTATAAATAAATGAAATCAATTGCACAATAAACAGCTTTGCGGAGGGTCAGTTACAGTGTCCGAAGTAGAACCGGTCTAGCGGGCCGCACACTCTTTAATGTGTGTGTGTGTGTGTGTCTATTTAATCTGTGTATGAATGGCAGCTGATTACTCATGCTGTTTGAGATACGTGGCCTTTTGTTGGCATTGCAAATTGCTTCATATTTATTCACATTTGCGATTTAGTCTCACAATCAAAACACGGGGCGCTGCTCGTTTTGCAAAAATGAGCGCTTCACATATTTTGGATTTGAAGGATGACTGTCTAAGATATGTGCTTGACTATCTGTCGACTGAAGATCAAATAAGCTATGCCCAAGCCTGCCAGCGATTTCGCGACGTTTTCATCGATTGGGCCGGCAGACATTACCGACACTTCACGATCGATGAGAAGAGCTCAAGGCAGGAGCTGATAAGATTTTGTATTTGCCGCGAGGCTGTCGACGAGCTAACCATCGATCTGGATCACTTTGATTCGTCCCGAGCGCTGAGGAACTATGGATGTGTAGCACCTCTAAACTGTTTCAGCATATTAAGCTTAGCATTGACAGGCATGACAAATCTAAGAAAATTGATAGTCAAACAGCTCAAGTTTATGCTCCTTTTTGCGCAACCCTTTGAGAAGACATTGGCTGCAGTCAAAGACTTGAAGCAGCTTAAAGTCCTAGAGTTGCATGCGATCGATGGTATAGAAATATATTCAGGGATTATTTTTTAAAGCTCTCTTGATCGTTCTGATTTTTCAGATTTTACCTTTGACAACTTAGGCCAACTGAAGCATCTGGAGGAATTACATTTGATTGTGAAGACACTAAGTGGCCCAACTCTAACCTACTGCTGCAAGTCAAATCCCAATCTGCGTTATCTGCACCTTGGATTTTCCAGTGTCCAGCGGATTCTGAGCGACATTGCACCCCACTGTGCTAATCTGGAAACTCTTCAGTTTGGCATGATAGGGGAAGCGCCGGCATACAAAGCAATCGCCAAGCTGCCCAAGCTCAGGCAGCTCATATATTACGGCATTCGGAGCACAAACTCCTTTCTGCCGCTGCTCACTGGATTGGCTGCGCGACCGCAGCTTCAACGCCTCGACATCGACGGAGGCAGCCTTAGCACCGAAGAGACTCAACAACTGGTTCGACTGAGCGGATTGCAGCAGCTAAAGTGCTTCTGCTCGACAGCTGAGTGTGCGGAGATGCTAGCGCAGCTAACACAGCTCCGGGCACTTAGCATATGGACGTCCAGCAGAGTCGACATTTCTGCAGCTATGCTAAGAGTGATAGGGGAATGCAAGCAACTGCAGCACCTGCGCATTGCATCGGGCAACTTGAACTCTGATTTCATTAATGACGTCTCTGAAATACTCTGTGCAAACAAAACAGGACCGGATAAACGATCGCTAAAGCTCGAAGTTCCCGTTCTGAAATATGTGACTCCGAAACTGGTAAAGTGCTGAAACCTAAGTGATCTAATGTATATAAATTAACTTTCATTTTTATTTTCATTTATATTTCATTTATAGCAACTCATTGAAGGAAACCAAGCTCTCAGCTGCTCAGAGTTTGAGTTGGCTTCATGGAGAAACTCAAATTAAATTATAGGGTTAACTCACAGTGGGATCATGTATTATTGTGGCAATACTCGGTTCCGAAACCGACTCGAATATAGGTATTCAATCTTGTACTCACTTAAAATAGGTAAAAGTTACAGCACAAATGAAATAATTTATTTAATATTCACTTTCAATGCTTTTCAATGAATGCAAGCGCATCAGGGACAGGCGTAAAGCTTTGACTTAATTACAGACTGATTGATTATTGGTCGGGATTCAATTTCAATTTCATTCGCCGCCGCACTGCAAGCAATGAAATTAAAATCAAATTAAATGAGAGAATTTAACATTTCCATTGTCGCAGATGCTGATGGGACCACCTCATGCGCGTAACATGATACATGTATGTATGTATGTATGTGTGTATGTATGCATGATGATGATGCTGCTACTGCCTGTCAGACGAGCAGGCAGGCAGCAGTTGAAGTGGTTCGATCGTCTGCAAGTGGAGCCCATCAGTCAGCCAGTCAGTTGTACCGCCATTGCTTATTTGTATCAATTTAAAACAGTTTTTCTGTTTTTTCGCATGCGGGGCACGCTTTAACACGTTTACATTGAATTAAACGTTGCAGCCAGCACAACGGCAACATTACAGATACCAACAATAGCGCACACAAAAGCAACAACAGCAACAACAGCAACAGCAACTGCAGCAACATGGTAAAGTTAAAATCAACATACATTGTTGCTGAACATTTCCTTTTGTGCCAGAGAGCCCAGTGCTCAGGGAGAGCAAAAGCCGGAAAGTGAAACGAGCTACGTCTGAAGTGAAAGAAAAATAGCAACAGGCAACAGGCAACAAACAACGGAACAACAATGGCAACAATAATGCGCTTCAGGCGACCCTCTCTCATCGAAATGGATTACATATAAATATACTTATTGTTCCATTTGGCAGCCGAATAAATATTTCGGTCAGAATTTGTGCCAAGTGAAGGCACAGAGTACGTGATAATGGATAATCGCCATACTTTATCAATGAGACAAAAGACAAGCCCAACTGACGGACTGACATATTTGCAGCACTTTGGTTACCTTCAGTTTATGCAATTACAACAGAATTATTTGCTCCCACGCATGCTCGATCACGCAAGGTGCAGTCTTGAATCAAACATTATGATCTCAGACTTAACCCGTATAAGTTTAATAAAAGCTGGAGCTAAGCAGCATAAGGCACTCGTAATTTTATCAATAAAATTCAACGGCAGTCTAAAGTACCCACTGAGCCAGCATGAATATTTTATGGCAATGTGTGAAGCCGCACATTATTAATTAAAATTTGCTCCATCAACAACAACAAAAACAACAACAACGGGAACAACACGTAGAGCAACAGCGTGCGCGGAATTACAGCAAACGAGGCGGCAGTAAAAACTTCCAATTACTCAAGCGTGCCCTCATCCTTCTTCGACAACGGCAGCAAGCACACAACGCAGGGACATCACATAAACGTTCATACATACACATGTGTGTAAGTGTAAGTGTGTTTGTATTTGCATTTAATATCCTTTTCTTTGAATAATTCATGCATACAGGGCTGACCAAACGACTGAACAGCATCAACTGCACACAGCGGCGTTGCAGGGCACAGGCAAAAGGCTGATGACCGAAGGGCTTCCATTTCATTGCTGTTGTTGTTGTGGCTGTTGCTGTTGTTGTTGTGGCTGCTGCTGCTGTTGCTGGGCACTTTTTACGCATACCGATGGCGAAACTTATTAATTGGCACTTGAGCTGTGGTTACCACAGCTCGACAGAGTCCAGGTTTTTTTTTTAATTTTTTAATATTTTTTTTATTTTGTATTTTTGCCCTGGGCTCAACCAAAGCGCGCCGTCATTCAAATTTTTGAGCAGGCATAATTTAACAACTTTTTCGTCCACGGGCTGCGCCCGTCTCTTTGGATATTGGATGTTGAACATCACTGGTAATCCACTCAAGTAACAAGCTATAACCACCACAGCGGCAACAATAACAGTGGCAAAAATGTACACGAGACTGACAATGACAGAGCAACAAGATAGGCGGACATGCAGCAAGAGCAAACATGCAACAGCAACATGGGAATACCCTGCAATAGATAGGACACTACTACTCTAGAAAAGTACTTCACATTGAATAGTAATCTGAATTGTAGAGATTTCCCTTAATGGCAATTATAGCTCTGTGTCTGGGTCAATTCTATGCCAGATATGAAGAGAATAAGTGAGTTGTTGACTTGGAAGCTTACTGCCGGTAATGCTAGTGTGCATATTATGCATAAATGCATATGTCGTTGACTGACTGACATTTTGACGCACAGGAGACAGCCTCATATCCCCCAGTGACTGCGCCATCGTCACGTTTTACCATTTAAATTAAAATGTTTCGCTTAAAAGAAAGAGAGCTGCAAAAATTGCTTACGCCTGGCGAGAGCACAACAAAAATCTCAGCCACATCCCCTTCAAAAAAAAATAAAATAAAAAAAATATTAAAAAATAAAAAAATTAAAAAACAAAAGAGAGAAAAAAGCTACGAAAATGTATAAAAAATGAGTGCGCTGCTTTTTTCGCTGCCCTGTTTGGCGCTGTCTTTTGCAGTTGGCGCGTTTGCCAGCTGCACTTGAAAGCCGCCTTGTTGGCCATCAGTGCCAGTGGCAGTGGCCGGTTTGGCCATAGCCATCGCCATCGCCATCGCCAACGCCATCTACATTGCTCCTTCTTCTTCTTCTTCATTTATTCAATGCCGCGCTGCTGCCATCAACAGCGTCGGCCACACGGCGTATCAGTGTTATTCGAGGGGGCTTATACGCTATACAAGAGCTTTTCAGCTCACTCTTTACCAAACGTTGAACAAGAAGATGAAAAGCTATAACTATATATATATGCATATTTTAGCAGACGATTTCATTTCCCATGCACATTAAAGAAGTTTTTTTTAAATATTAAGTGACTGTTCTATATAGATAAATAAATATACATATATTCATACTAATCTGAACTTTATTTAAAGCTTCTCAGATTTCTTAACTCAAATATATGATATACAAAAATATATATACATAGTTTTTACTTATATAGTACTGTTCTTAGAAAGGAATCATAATTCATATCATACACAACAGTCTCAATATTTCAATTTTCCATCTATTGCTCTCATATTTAATTGCAACATTGTGCACAGAAATTATTTGCAGCAACGTTCAATGTCGTTTACTGCAGCTGCCCCTGACGAATTAAGCACTTTCATTAAGTGACTGCAATCAGGTAAGAAATTATCAGCCAGCAGCTGGCGCCTTAGCATTGGCGACCCGCTCTGCGATATCTTAATGCACTTTTAATTGAGCAGAGACCTGCGAGCTGCACTGAGCAGCCATCTGTCAAGGGCGATGGGGTGAACATTGAAAAGAAGTGCAAATGAAAAATTATAATTAACGTGGCCATTAGCAAGAGTGCCAAGTGCCAAGTGGCAGATGCTGTTGCTGTTGCTCTCTTGTGCCATCTTCCGTCTTCCTTCTCCCTTTTCCCATTTCTGATTTCAATTTGGGCAACTATTTTAATTGGCAACCAATGACAAGACCAATGCGTATACGCCATGTGTTACCATTAGTTAACATAAATTATTGAAAATCATAATTTATGCGCAAGTTGTCATTGCCAGTGCTGCCTAGCTGAATATGCAGCCCCAGTTATAAGGCACGAAAATGAATACAAGCCCAATTAACTCATTCATTTGCAGCATTTAGGTAGACAGCCAGGCAATTGTAATGGGTGCATAGCACAATTGCGACATGGATTTTGCGTTCGAGTTTTCATAAATAAATCAAGCTAATTAATAGACTGTCGATGTCATGTAGTCGCAAATTGCGTGAGAATGGCACTCGAAATTATTCCGTTGCCAAATCAGAAATTTTGGCGCCTGTTATCAGCGAACAGTGACAAGCGCCCATTGATTAGCACTTGCTTAGAGTAACTATCTGAATTAAATCAACAACTACGTCAAGGGCCATTCTATTGATAAATATTTCTTTTCGAGTCAATTGACATGCATCGAGAAGTGCTCACTTATTTATTGCATTTTATTGGCAGGACCTCTGTGGGTCTGTGGGTCTGTGAGTAGCAGCTGTCAGCAACAAATGCGAATAAATTGTATTTCTGCAAATCCAATTACCAAATGATTTGTTTTTACATATAATTTCGATGTTTTCTTTTCTCTTATGGAGCATACCCTATGCCCACAAAATGATTGCCGTGGGCTATAAGAGAAATCGGAAACAGTTTGCTTTCGCCTTGGGTCTGAGTGCAGGGTATTATATAGTCAAGCCCGTTTTCGTATTTATTTTCGACAGACGCTCTGCTTTTTTACCACCGAAATTGGGGAATTCCATTGCCGAAATTCGCACGCACGTACAGTGCTGCAAATTAGTCTACATACGCATCGGTAGATTATTTGGTGTGGGTCTTTAGTGCAAATAATCGCATGAAGTGCCTTTGCCTGTCGTTGATTTTGATGGTATTGATGCCAGTGCTTTTTGGGCCCCAAACAAATATTTGATTCCTGTGCTCATAAATGGCTTCTAAATTGCAAATGTCGGCAAAGGAAATCAATTAGTGTTTGACAGATCGATTTTGGTATTGCTTTTGTGCGCACGAATTACTAGGAAATATGCCTATTTCACTTCCAAATATAAACATTTTGTATAATCAAATAATTGTACCATAAACTTCGATAAGAAATTATTATGGCATTAGTTAGGAATTATACTATGGTTGGCCTTAAATGCTAAAAACAAAGAGTTTTTTTAAGAAATGCGACTATATCCAGTCATTCAGATATTGCAATAAATTCTATGCCCGTAGTCTAATAGTTGATAAGTCTATATATTGAACACCTGTCAGCTCATAAGTGGCTTATACATACATATATATTATACATTCAAGAGGTAAATTCCAAGTCATTTCGTGAGCGTTGGTCAGTCCACATCTACTTGCGCTGCCGCAATCGTAATCTGTAATACAATCAACTGCCATAAATAAGTGCGTCCGAGCACTGTTATGATAACAGTACTGTTATGATAACAGTATCGTCGCATTGTCTTGGCCATATAAAGAAGGCATTGCTCGACGAAAGGGTTGGCATAATGCACTCGCGTGTAGTATTATGAGGTGCGACGTGTCTGTGATCCTAATCCTAGAGCTGCTGGTCGGCCTCAGCTCCACCGCTGCACGTTTATCGCGTGTGTTGCCCTTTGCCGAAGGGGAGCAGGGCGTGACCGTGTTCGGAGACTGCGAGTTTCGAGTCAATGGCGATCTCAATGATCCCGCTCCGCTTTTTGCGCGACATAACTCTTTCGAGATTATCGTGCCAGACCCTACGGACACAGTGCGTCTAAAAAATGGCGAGCTACTGGATATGTTCTGCCCTGGCGCTGGTTTTGCGGCACCCTTTCAAACGCGAACGCAGCTGACTGCGCAGTGTCTGCAGCAAAAGTATTTCCTGATCGATGGCCTGATCTATCCCTTTGCCAACTTCAGCTGCACGGCCTGGCCGACCTTCTCGGCGCTGCGCACTGGTCGGCAGTGCAACGGTGGCACGGATCTGGTCAAAGTTGGCTTCGAGTTGGACGACGACGGATTCCTGCAAACCTTCGATGTGTGCCATGACGAGCTTGCCGAGGCCACACGCTATGTACACCATGTGCTGTACCCATCCAGCTACGATTATCAACACGGTGTGGCGCGACCGAATTTCATTACTCTAGACTTCTACGGCGGCCGAGATGTCAATAAAAAGTACACGCAAATAGAGCAGAATATCACAATAAGCAACATTCTGGGCCTGGACGCTAGCCCATACTTCAACTATAGCGACGATCGGATATTGGCACGCGGCCACTTGATTGCGAAAACGGATCAGATCTTTGGCGCTGCCCAAATGTCCACTTTCATCTTCATCAATGTGGCGCCTCAGTGGCAGAGCTTCAATGGCGGCAACTGGGAGCGTGTCGAATCGAGCGTTCGCAAATTTGTTGCCGATCAGCATTTGACTGTTGACTGCTATACCGGAACCTGGGGCGTGTCCACGCTGCCTGACTTCGAGGGCATCGAACGTGAACTCTACCTGGACTTTGATGAGAACAACAATGGCCTGATACCAGTTCCCAAACTCTATTTCCGCGTCATAATTGATCGTGCCAGTCGAGAGGGCATTGTCCTGGTGGGTGTCAACAATCCCTATGTCACCTTGGAACAAATTCAAAGTGATTATATTTTGTGCGAGGATATTGGACATCTGGTGAGTTGGGTTTCATGGATTAAGGAGGATCTACATGAGGGCTATTCGTATGCGTGCTCTGTGGAGGATTTCACGGAAGTGGTTAAGGACTTGCCCCTTGATGATCTGCACACGACTGGTATCCTTGGCTTAGATAAAGACACCACCAGCGATGCACCAACCACTGTTAGCACTACTGAAGTGCCTTCTCCAACGGCATCTGAGACCACCACTGAGATCCCCACGACTGCTGAGAGCACTACAGATATTCCAACTGAATTGCCAACGACTATTGAGAGCTCCACAGATATTCCCAGCACAGTTTCTTCTACCAGTACTACTGAACTACCGTCTACGACTTCTGAGAGCACTAGTGATATTCCTAGCACAGTTTCTTCTACCAGCACCACTGAGCTGCCATCTACAACGACTTATGAGAGCACTACCGAGTCCTCCAGCACCGCATCCAGCTCAACAACAACAACACCCAGTCCAGCTCCAACACCTCAGCCCAATCAATGCTACTTCAGCATCAACGGAGATCTCACAGATCCTGCCCCACTGCTCACGCCGGAGGGAGCACTTAGCTGGCTCTTGCCGGATGAATCGGGTATTTACACGGTGGATGATGGATCGAGCATTGATTTGCACTGCACCGCTGCACTGGCCATTCCATTCAATAGATATACCGCACTGACGGCACGCTGTGTGGGTGACCAGATGTATGAGGCGGAGGGCCAGAGGGTAACGATAGGGGAATTCTTCTGCCAAACTTGGCCCAGCTACCAGGCAGTTCGCACTGGAGTCTCGTGTGAGGGCGGCACTGAGCTCCTGCAGATTGGCTTTAGCGTGGCTGCCGGGCTGTTGTCGCAGCTGGAACTGTGCTATGACGAGAGTGCACAGATCACACGCTACGCTCGCTACGAGCTGACGCCAGCCAATGTTGCCTATCAGCGGAACGTGGCACAGCCCGGGTATCTGCGGGCCGACTTCTATGCGGGCAAGGACGTTAGTGTGGTCTACAGCCAGTCGCATCAGTACGAGATGCTTAGTGAAACTCTTGGCCTGGATGCCAGTCAATACCTGGACAGCAGTCGCGATCTGTACCTCACTCGGGGTCATCTCGCTGCGCGTCAAGATTTTGTGCATGGCTCGGCGCAGCGTGCGACGCACTTTTATGTGAATGTGGTGCCCCAGTGGCGCAGCATTACCATAGGCAACTGGCTGGCCGTGGAGCGTAGTCTGCGCCAATTCGTGGCCAATGAGGCGATCAACGTGAGCGTGCATGCAGGCAGCTGGGGCGTAGCCACATTGCCGAATGCCGAGGGCAAACAAACGCCGATCTATTTAAATGCCGACACGCAGCAGCTGCCGGTGCCACGACTGGTGTATCGCATTGTCATTGACCAGGAGAGCCGCAAGGGCATTGCCCTAGTGGTGGCAAACGATCCACATGCCAGCCTTGGCGAAATCTTGCAGGATTATGTCGTCTGTGAGGATGTGGGTGCGCAGCTGGATTGGCTGGACTGGGAGAAGGCCAACATTGAGAAGGGCTATGCCTACGCGTGCGCTGTCGAAGATTTCACTGAAGTGGTCAAAGATCTGCCACTCGATCAACTGAATACGACTGGAGTGCTTGGGCTGCCGGCAGAGCCATCTCAGGAGTTGTGCAGCTTCCGCGTGAATGGCGATCTCAAAGATCCAGCTCCGCTTTTTGTACTACGCGACGAGCAGGGCACCGCACAATATTTGGAGCCAAATCCACAAGGTGTGGTGGAACTGAAGCATGGCCAAGCAATAGAGCTGCACTGCAGCGGCCCAAAGTCATTTCAAGGAGACTTCGCCGGATTCTCTCAACTAAGTGCCAGTTGCTGGCAAGAAGCAAATTTCTTGGTGCAGGGCAACGTCCGCCATATCAACGACTTTGTGTGCGCCTCTTGGCCCGGCTACACGGCTCGACGCACAAATCGTGAGTGCAATGGAGGCACCAATCTATTGGAAGTTGGCTTTCAGCTAGCCAACGATGACAGCCAAGATGACTTCCTGCAAACCTACGATGTGTGCCACGATGAGCTGGCGGAGGTAACACGCTATGTGCATCATGTGCTGACGCCCAGCAGCGCCCAGTATCAGCGCTCGGTAAGCCGGCCAAGCTTTATCACGGGCGACTTCTATGGCGGCAAGGACGTCAATCAGAAGTATACGCAGGTGCAGCAGAATATCACAATCAGCGGAATTCTGGGCATGGATGCCTCGCAATACTTCAATATAGGCAGCAACGTGTATCTGGCCAGGGGCCATCTATCCGCCAAGACTGACTTCATATTTGGCGCCGCGCAGCAGGCGAGCTTCTTCTTTGTGAATGCCGCACCCCAGTGGCAGACCTTCAATGCGGGCAACTGGGAGCGCATTGAGGATAGCGTGCGAAAATTTGTGGCTGATGAAAACATAACTGTGGATTGCTACACTGGAACGTGGGGCGTGTCCACGCTGCCAGATGCAGAGGGCGTGCCCCAAGAGCTCTACCTAGACTTCGATGAGAACAACAATGGGCTGATACCAGTGCCTAAGCTATACTTCCGTGTGATCATCGATCGGGATAGCCGCAGGGGCATTGTGCTGCTGGGCGTTAACAATCCACACATTGGCGTGGAAGAGATTGAGGAGGACTATATTATCTGTCCTGATATCGGCGATCAAATTAACTGGATAAGTTGGTCAAGGAAGGACTTACAGAAGGGCTACTCGTATGCCTGCACTGTGGAGGACTTTATAGAAACTGTTCAAGATTTGCCATTGGACGATCTGCAAACGAATGGCGTTCTAGGTGTTACGGCGTAACGCTAATAACCACACTCTATTACTATATAATGGTCTAATCAAACTAGCTGAGCATACAATAAATTATAATCAACATTAATAACTCACCAACGATAAGCAATATTTTAAATTATCATTCCACAATTGCTCACGTGTCACACGTTTCGCATAGCCGAAACTCCGTATATTTTCATTCGGCTTGACAAGGCATATCAGCACTTTTAGATTTTGTAACATAAACAAAAACATTTTTTTTTTTTTTAATTTTTTTGCTATGATAATCTAATCTCTAAACGTTTACGTCTCGCGTTCATTAAAATCAAAAGTCAATGGCATTTGATGTTTTAATTATGTCTGTAAATCAACTAAACATTTGCCTTTTTTATGCACAAAATAAGTTTAAAATTTAGCTAGAGTACTCTGTTAAATCACCCATAACTATCAGAATTGCCACGTTTAATCTTTAGGTATTAATTAAATCAAGCAAGCTTCGCTTAAATCATTTGCACACTAAATGCTAAAAATCATTCAGGCATAGCTTGCAAATCATATAAAACGAAGCTCACATTGAGAAGAGAATTCAGTTATCAAATCAAAAGTACTTGAAGCAACTGGGTCATGTTTATAAAGTGGCAAGTCGGCTACATAGCCTGTTGTCTATTGGCCATAATTGTGGCCGTAACAGCCCATGTCAATGCCTACAAAAGTAAGTGATGGAAACTGCCTGCAATCGGGTCGCAATGATTTAACAACTTCATTGACTTTGTCAGAGTTTGGACGCGACTGTCGCGACATTAGTTGTGTCGGCACTGAACGATGCATATTAACCAGCGTGGCATGCGAAAAGGATCAACTGGATGGCGAACACTGTGGCCAATATCCGAAATGTGTCGAGCGTTCAAGTAGCCCAGGTGTGTAAAGCCCACTCAACCCATTCACCGTCTAGCGGCACGCACTCATTGCAAACCCTTTTCCTGAACCGTTTCAGATCAGCATTTGAATCGGTTCATGATCGACACCACATCCACCACAGCTAACACTCGCAGCATCAGCGCACCCATCTCCGGTCCCAGCACCAGCACGCTCCATTTGAATCACCAGCCGTACACTGAGTCGAACCCAGACAGGGACAATGGCTTTGAGCTCCTTGATGGAGTCACTGGGCCAATGCCAGGGGCCAGTCATGCCGATCAGCGACAGGCAAACGTTCTGGTCATTGTGCAGGATGGGTCCCAGCCGCCCATGCCAAATCCCAATTCCAATCCCAATCTCAATTATAACAGACAGCTCTGGCGACAGCCGTGCATTGTTAGTCCATATTATCCATACGCCTGCACCAATGCGCCCCCACCAAACATGCCCGTCTCGAGATCAGTTCCCCCTTACGGCAACGCACGGGCCGCCTCCGGACCGCAGCTAGTGCCACCAACTCCGCCGTGCTATTACAACTGTTATCCCAGACTGGCAGCTGGGTATCCGCTTGCTCGATCCTCTAGACCTACCGCATCGACAAGCAACTACTTGCTTTACATATCCATTTAGTGGCAAATAGTTTGTGCACCTGCTCCTGCTGTATGTTTCAGGTGTTCTGCCCGAAACAATACCAAGTTACTATTCCTGATCAGTCTCTCTGTTTTTCTTTTGGCAATTCATCTTCCTAGATTCGCCAGACTTCATTGACTCGGAATTCGAATCGTCTTACCCACTGCATAATGTAACCGCAAGACAAGTCTATATGCCTGGACGCATGCCCATGCCTATGCCAGTCCCAATGCCAATGCCAATGCCAATGCCCATGCCCATGGCAAGACCCCTTCCTGGTCCGGCACCCATTCCCGGTCGTGTGTACTATCCTCCGGTAAAACGCAGACCCATGCCAATGCCAATGCCAATTCCAGTGCCAATGCCTCCACCTCCGCCTCCGCTGCCAATTGTCATCCTGCCCATTGGTGTGGGCAGTTTTTCAGGCATGGGCTACAATTACAATCAGTATTATGGGCCAAGTGGCATCTACCCCAATAACCAATACAGCCCTCAGACTCCCAACTATGACTATTATAACAACAACAACAACAATAATAATAATAATAATTACAATTATGTTAACAATAATTACGATTACAACTCATACGGATAAATAAATAGCTTAAAAGTCAACTGATCCTCAGAACAATATTTTATTTTTAATGCTTATCCCAATTGCTTTCAGGATTTCCATTAGGAAGGCTTAAGCGACAAGCTGGACAGATGGGTGGTAATGGAATGGGGGTAAATGGAAGAGGTGGTAACGGGATGGGAGCCAATGGAAATGGCATGGGTGGTAGAGGTGGAAATGGAGTAGGACCCAATGGAAATGGCAATGGATATGGCGTGGCTGGTAGAGGTGGCAACGGAATGGGAGCCAATGGAAATCCAAATGGAATGGGTGGCAATGGAATGGGCATGGGAAGAAACGGAAATGGAATGGGAGCGAATGGTATGGGTGGTAGAGGTGGCAATGGAATGGGAGGCAATGGAAATGCCAATGGATATGGTATGGGTGGTAGAGGTGGCTATGGAATGGGACCCAATGGTGGTAGAGGTGGCAACGGCATGGGTGGCAATGGAAATGGAATGGGTGGCAATGGAATGGGTGGCAATGGAATGGGTGGCAATGGAATGGGTATGGGAAGGAACGGCAATGGCATGGGTGGCTACGGAATGGGAGGCAATGGAAATAGCAACGGAAATGGTATGGGTGGAATGGGTATGGGAATGGGAAGAAATGGTTACGGTATGGGTGGTAACGGTATGGGTGGTAACGGTATGGGTGGTAATGGAAATGGAGGCTATGGAATGGGAATGGGAATGGGTATGGGCGGAAGGGGTGGCAATATCAATGGAGGAATGGGCATGGGCTCTGGTGGACAGAGTCCACGGGTTTACACAATGTGTGGACCTGGATATCCTAGTCCATTAATTAATGGTAATAACGGCAATGGTAATGGAATAAATATGAATCAAAAGAATGGAAACGGTGTAAATACAAATGAAACGCTTGAGAGCACAAGTTCATCCTATCGAAAGAAAAGGAATGTACATGGATTTAACAATCGAAGAGATGCTGGCCAACAGAACCAGCAGGGCGGTGGCAATAGAGTGGAAGGCTATGGAATGGGTGGGAACGGCATGCGTGGAATGGGCTATGGTAGAATGTGTGGCCCTGGAATAGTCCACGGGCACGTTGGTATAGGCATGGGTGGAGGCAGGGGAATGGGCACAATGGGAGGCGGCAATGGACAATGGAGCAACAATAACTCTGGCGCCTACATGACTCAAGTGTCATTTAATCAGAGCCCAGATGGTGCCTCTGTGGATGCCAGTGTCACCGTAAACAGTTTAAACAGTGATACCTCACAAAGACCAAAACGTCGCAGGAACGAAACCGAATGGTGAAGAATTTTTGCTGGATCACATATTCAATTTGTAAGAAAATAAATATACAAACTTTGAACTGCATAGCACAATTTTTAATTGTTTTAAATCGATTACTATATTAACAAGTTAAGTTCTCTGAATTATTTATTGTAGCCTTTTGAACAACTGAAAGGCTAAGCTCATTTCGTAAATATCATGTGTGAAACGCTAGATAAAGGTTACAGAAATTTCCTGCTATTTCAATACCAAACAATATTACAGTGTATTCAATATGACAGCAATCATTCATGCTTGGCAGAACTATTACGAATCATAAGATTCTGGCTGATAACCGGTTTAGAGAGAGTTACACGTAAAGAAAGAATCAAAGAAGAGAGAGATTGAGAGAGAGATTGAGGGAAAGAGAAAATTAAAGCTGTGTATAAAAACACCTGTTGAGACCACAACTAATTGAATACGTAAACAGACGCCGCACGAGACAGTTCGAGAGCAGAACATGGCTAGCGTGCATATATTTTGGATCGCTTTGTTGTTATTCGCGTCAACGAACGAGATTCGAGCACGAGAAGCAATTAGGCCAGCAGAAGAAGTGGGTCAAATAATCAAAGATCTTGTGGGAGCGAATGGGGCAGCTGAAGACGGTAAGTGCATGATGCCCTCATTCAGCAATATCAAAATCAATATTTAAAAGTGCAGTTAACAATGAGCCACTTTGTATATCTAAGCCAGAACGAAATGGCTTATACATATTGCCAGTTTCGTGGGCTTAGAGTGAACTGAAGTGATGAGTAATTTCTCTTATACTACAAATTGTAAATAATGATTTGCATCTAACTACTATGTATTATAGGCGCCGCGTGTATATTGGACATTCAAAAGGATTTGCCACACTCCAAACAGCAGCCGCTTTACCTGCACCCCGACACGGACACCTACTGGCTGCCCAATAAAGAGGGAAAGTTGGAGATACCAACAAATGAAAATATCGAGCTCTATTGTGAGAATTCATTTTCGATTGGCGATAGCATTGAGCACGGCTCATCCCTACGGGTTCGCTGCCTGAATGACAACATATTTCAGTGGAACGGGCAAAAATGGGAGTTGGAAGACTTTACCTGCTCCACACCACTGATCTATACTGTGGAGCGACTGAGCCAGCCGTGTGGGGATGGAGACGACCTGTCGCCGGCTCGACTGTATCGCGTGGGCTACAACATCAGCGAGGGTCGATTTGTGCGTACCAATGACCTCTGCCACGATGCAAGTCAGCTACAAACACTCTACGCTGCCTACCAATTGATCCCGGCAAATTCGCTCTTTCAGCGAGGAGTTAAACGCATTAAGTTCAGTGCCGCTGGCCACTTTTCCGGTTACGATATGAACACACTCTACTCACAAAAAAGGCAGCTAAGACGAGTGGGGGAACTGTTTCAAAGACTCAATGCCACAGAGAACGGGTCGAGTTTCCTGGCAAAGGGACAGTACCTCACACGCGGCCACCTGGCAGCCAAAGCAGACTTCATTTATGCCAGCCAGCAACGCACGACCTTTAACTACATGAATGTGGCACCGCAGTGGCAGATATTCAATGGTGGCCCCTGGCAAATCATAGAGGACAAAATTCGAGAGCTTGTGTCTCGCCTAGATCTCTCGGTGAGCGTCTATACGGGCACCTATGGTGTCATGCCGCTTTCAAAGCAGACTGCCTTCCATTTGGCCAACAATGCAAATGGCAATGGCAATGGCGTGCTGCCCGTTCCGCTTCTCTACTATCGCTTGCTCATTGATAATCAAAATCCCAGTCGTGGCCTGGCCATCATGGGTGTCAATAATCCGCATGCTACGCAGAGCGAGATAGAGGAATCGTACATTATTTGTCCACGTGTCGAAGTACCCTCGCTTCATAGCTGGCTGCAGGCGAAAGATCTCAGAAAAGCATATCTCTATGCGTGTCGTGTGGCAGATTTGGCAATGGCCGTGGGCCATTTGCCGCCTCAGCTGCAAGATGTAAACGAGCTGATAGAGGAGTCGTAAAATCTTGAATTTAAATCATGGTCATGCCATTATCAGAAGACTGTGTGCGAAAGCTTGGGAATTTTAAATAAAAGTAGACACCACAAATAATAAATTTTGTTATTGTCAACAATTTTATTGTTTTTCTTTCGGAAACTCAAGAATATTAATGGAGACATGGTAATTTGTGAATTCCAAGGTAAAGTAAAGTAAACCGAGTATTTTGATATTTATTTTGGTTTTTTCTTAATTTCGCTCAACAAATAATTGAGCACAAGAAAAAAAACACCATAATAATGGAATATCAGTGAGCTCTTAAGTCAACACAGAAATTTTACGCACACATTGTTTACTGCCAGCTAACATGAAAAATATAATTTTCGTCACCCAGACACGACTTCACCTTGCCGGACGGACGTAGCGAATTGTAGACGTACGGAAGGCGGCTGGAAGTACGTTTCGGCGTTTTCAAATCAGTAAATGCAAATATAAATGTATTGAAAGCTCAAATGGGACCGAATTCAAAGCGAAGCAAAAGCAAAAAGAATTTATGGTAATGCGGAAAAGAAGCGCAACAGCAAAGAAAAGGAAGAAAAAAAGAGAATTCAAGGACGTAAAATACCGGAAAACGGCAACAAAGGCAACGGAAAATTTAAGAAATTGTGCCAAACGACAACGCTGTTGGATATGGGCGCTGTATATGTGTGGGCGGTGTATGTATGTGTGTCTGTGTGTGTTTGAGTGAAGCAGAAGAAAAGGATTAAATCAATGTTGCGGAACAAATTGTGTTATGTGGGGCGCCTTCATGGAGGTAATACAAACCTATTTCATTTCTTCAAGCCAACAAGTCATGGCCATAATGGGTAGCCGAATGTGAGCCAACTTTTCGACCACAAGCGACGACCCAATTTGATGGTGTCAAAGTCACACGAGCGTTAATAATGTGGGATACATGTTAGACGGCTAGTGTAAAGTCAAGAGAGAATGATATGATTAACTATGCACACATACATGTAAATATACTCAATTAACTGCATATGTAACGGCATTTAGGGTTACCTTAAGTCACCTTTATCGGGATGTTTGTTGGCAAAATGCCAAAGGAATATCTATTTCGTCAAAGCCACAGCAAATACATATTGATGACATTTATTATACGGGTGTATCGTTAACCCAATGTTTACCCAGACCGCAAATATGGCTGCAAACGGTCTTACAATTCAATCGATTGCAACTTGCGGTTGCAGTTTTTGCTGAATTCAACAAGAGAATTTCTTTCTCTGCAAAACAAAGTTAGGTCGCTGAAACAATTGTAAAAACTGAAGACATTGTTTGTCTGCTAGTGGATTTTGTTTTCAGGGTCGACGACATGACTTCAAATGGCTGCCCTGGTGACTTTCGTTTGTTTGTTTGTTTTTTTTTTTGGCAATTGTTGTGGGCTAAGCAGTGTGGGTTCTGTTTCAGTACAGACTTAAAAACTTGATGAAAGTTTATCTGCGCGGAAACGCGGGTGCAGAGACGGAGAGAGAGAGAGAGTGGCAAGAAACCCCGATGAAAACAGAGTGAAAAATACAACGAAAAAAATAATTGAACGCACTTTACGCAGCTGTTGTCGAGGGGTTTTTGTTTTCCTTTTTTTTTTCATTTGCCTTTCTCGTTTTTATTTGTTACTGTGTGGAAATGAAGGATATGTTATGTCCTGCGGTGGACTACGGAAATTATTATTTATATTTTCGTATTCGGTTCGTTGCATTGTTAGTGGGTTTTCATCTCGATGTACTTTTTAATATTGCAACTTTTTGGTCACGCATTTTTTATTTTGATTAAAATGCATATTAAATCTTGGCAAACAAAAATTACAGCAACAACTGAATAAAAAAAACATTAAAATAAAAATCAACACAAAAATAATATAAATAATTTCCTGTGACCGGCTGTGCTCTGTGCGCCGTACGCCTTGTTTCCTTCCGCCTTCAGCCGTGCAACTACAAGCCCTCCAGCCACACTGCCACTCTGCACGGATCCAATGGCCCGTACGTTCGAGCCAAATCGAGTCGAGCCGAGGCGGCCGCATTGCATGCAAAAGGCAGTCAAGTTGAAATATTTTGTTAACAGTGCGTAGGTTTCCCAAAAGACAAAAAATACATAATATAGCCGACATTCATACACACACAAGCACACACACACATACTTACAGTCATACATGTATGCTATATACCTACTTGGTATATAGGATATGCATATAAAGTTTCGCCTTCTGCGTTATTTACATGTGTAACAACAATGGGCGCTCCCAGAGGCAGGCGCCGGGCCGATGGAATCGGGGACTCCGACAAGACAGGCAGGAAGCACGCATGCAAGAGGCATGATTTATATTGGAAAATTGAGGTATCCATTTGCTCACCCATTGAAAATGGGTAAAAAGGGGTATAATGGATTTGAGCAAATGTCTTAAATAGACAAAAGAAGGTATTACCAGCGCCATTGAGTAGATATATATGTATATATATGACGAACATGTTCGTGCAAGCACCGCTCTAGCTCAGACAAAAGCTGAAATCAATAATCATTGCTATCGATTCGCAGCTCTGCTACCCATTAAATTTAAAAAGTAATTAAACAATATATGTCAACTAAGTTGAGAGAAGTAAGTTATATGAGAAGCAAATTCCTATTCAATTCATAGCGTAACACAATCATGTGCTTCGTATCTCCCAAGTGTAGGTTTACAACTTCTTGATTATTCATTTAAACATGGAACTTGTTCGAATCGGCGTAATTAATGCTTCATGTCAGGTCTGGGGTCTGGAGTAGATTGAATGATTCAACCACTCGTATTTAACGGCAGTTTTGTTAATTCCCCATAACTTGAATTTAATTTAATTCAAGATATGCTGAGGCAGAACAGAGCTGAACAGCACAGATAACAAGAAGGATAAAAGATGAATAAAGTACGTGCACACAATGAACAATGAACACACACACACAGAGATACAGATTCACACAGACGCACAGCAATGACTACAATATGAAAATGGCCAAGAAATTGCCGTTTCATTTTACTTGTTTGTAGGGAAAATCGAGAAGGAAAATGCATTGCAGTGGAAATTGCATTGCTGAACTGTAGACTCCAAGCAACGTACAAACAAGGCATGACGACAGTGACATCTAATATCCTTATTGTTAGCAAGAGGGAATTTATGGCTAACACAGTTCTTGGCTCGGTTTAACTAGGAAAGTGCCGCGTTTGCCTGAGCTGCCTAAGCTGCCTGAGCTGCCTGAGCTGCCTTCAGTTACAGACCAAAGGCACTCCTGATGTTGCTAATGAGCCCTGGGTCGTTGTGAAATTTAACACTCAGCTCGCTGTCGCCAGTGTCAACGAGTTCGAAGTGCGCAATCACCTCAATAGCTGTTTGGTTAATGGACTAACGACAGCTCACGTGCCCTGTCAGGATTGCCAGGATTGGGATACTTCAGAGTAAGTGCGCTTCAACTAAAGCTGTGTAAGTTTTCTTTTTTATGCGCCCATTATGGACTATTAACAATGGCTACAAGTGCGAATTAAGGTTTTACATTCTAGTTACCCAGACTAATTGATAGCTGCTATTAAAGTCAACGATAGTCTAGATATCAATCTGAGCAGCTGTAAAAGGTGTGAGAAATCTGTATATGTATATATAGAGAGTGAATACATTTGCATTAGATTAACGCTTGCTGAGTTTTGAAAATATGTCAGCAATGGTCGGGGCTGTTTGACCCCCCCAACTGAAATATCACAAATGCCAAGCCCTCGGCCGATTCGTTTGTCGTTGACGTCGCCCTTTCATTCTCTCATTCAAGTTATGAAATATTTTATATATAAATATTCACACATATTAAAATTCATACCTACAGTGGCCCTTTGTGCTGGGTGCCGAGTAATGGCTTTATGCGACAGAAAGCAATTTATTCACCCATCCTGTTCCCTTTCTGAAATTACGCCCAGGTGAAGTGAAGTGCCCTTAAAAATGGGCAAGACCGTGTAAAGTGGAACGAATTTAAAGTGATTTTTGCCATTGCCAGCTTAAAGCAGGCGTGATTCTCCTGACTTTATAACAAAAATCAATATGCGAAGTGAAAACTTAATGACTTTCGCAGTAAAAACTGAATGCATATCCTTAGATATTTTGAGGAGGAGCATAAATATGTGAAGTTGTTGTTTAAGGAATATTAACAAACTAACAAGATTTGCAGTAACAAGTGCTATAAACCTTCTTATTATATCATCTTTTGTTGATGCGTCTGGGAATCATATAAATCTAATATATACCTTGTACCTAAACTGTCACGATTTGCTTTTTTAGAGGTTATTAAACGGATTTATCACTCATTCATAGTCCAATAAAGGCAAAAAATAAGAAGAGGTTTTAGTACAACTCAAAGATGAGATCTTAAATTAAATTGACAGTAAAACTAGATGCGAATCAGCAGTAACTACTCGAATAAAAGAAGCGTCAATTGACAAATTAGGTGTCGAGGAAAATAAGACGTAAATTTATGTACATATAGAAAATAAAAGCGCAAAAATAAAATGTGAGCATAAAAAAATAGAGGGTAGTCAAGCGAGGCGTGAAAAGTCAAAGGAATCATAAAGCGCGAATAACTCAATGAAGATGAACCCGTGTTAGAGCTAGACGAAGGTCTCGCTAAAGGCTGAAACGTGTCACGGAACAATAACAGCATATTCTAAATGGATAAACATATTCTTAAGGCCCTCCCAGTGTGCTTGCTGAATTCTATTCAGCTATTCATGTAGAATGTTTTTTCTAAAGCTGTGAATGCGCTGCTCATTTCGTAGCCGACTTAATAGTCATTTTAGGTGCAGCATTTTGCAGAGCCCCTCAGTTTGCTGCTACATTTTGTGTATGGCAATGTGTGCAGTGCTTTCAAACATGTTTTCAAGCTTGTTTCCCCTGTATTGCCTCATCTGCAGAAATCCGCAACATTTGCCACAATTGGCATGTCGCTGTGGTCGGATCGTTGCGGATTCTGGCTACGGGCTACGGAGGCTGGGGACTGGGAGCTGCAGGCACTGAGGGCGCTGAGCAATGCATG